TCAACCGAAGCTACACCGCTGATAAGCACTTTGGCCTGACGGCCTACACGCTCCCTCAAGATCAGCGGGCGATCATGCAGGAGATCTTCACCAATGGCCCCGTGGAGGCCGATTTCAACGTCTACGCCGACTTTCCCTCCTACAAGTCGGGCGTCTACATCCAGCACAGTGATCAGTTTTTGGGTGGTCACGCCATCAAGGTTCTGGGCTGGGGCGTGGAGAAGGGCACCCCCTACTGGCTGTGTGCCAACTCCTGGAACCCGGACTGGGGTGATAAGGGCTACTTTAAGATTCTGCGAGGTGCTGATGAGTGCGGCATTGAGGAGGATGTTAATGCCGGCCTGCCGAAGCTTGATTAGATGAAACGAAATATATTGTGTTCAGGAACTGTAAAATAAAAAAATAAAATTAAAAAATGATTTAAATTTTTCAAAATTGATAGGTTTGTATCAACTTTTTTTACGACAAACTTTCTTTACAAAAAAGCGGTTTTTTGTTTATCAAAATAAGAATGAAAAGGTATTAAAAAATACTAAATAAAAAGTGAAAGTAGGGGTAATAGACAACAAAAAAGGGGAATGAAAGAAGGGGGTGGTAAAACAAAGCATTATTCGCTAATTTTCTAGGTTTCCTGGAGCAGCTCCCGCTTCGCCAGCTCAATGGCGCCCACCAGATTACGCCTGTCAGCGGCAAACTGCACCTGGGCGTAGGTGGCCACTGGTCCGAGTGCAAAAGAATGACCACCTGTTGCTGCTGCTGCAAAAAGATCATCTCTGCTGTGCATTGCCTCAAACCACCCGGAAATGGCCCGCTCCACCGCCTCGGCGGTCATCTTAACGCCATTGCCACTGTTTCGTTTGTTCGAGGAGCCAGGGAGCACCTTAAAGATGTNAGCGCGCCGAGAAGGTAGAGGTGACGCAGCTCGGTAATGCCGCTCTGATTTCGACGGACCAGGGCGCGATAGTGCTGGGCGCCATTGCTTTTCCGAGGCTGCTGCTGCTGCTCTCCGAAACTTCCGTCCTCATTGCTGATCATGCTCGTTAGTCGAAGAAGAAAAACTTGCAAACAAAAGGACTGCATCATCGAGAGGGAGTCGTCGCCCGAATCGGCCGAGTCTTCCAGTTCCTTAGTTGGCAAGAGGAGGATCACATCCAAAGCATTTTCATTTTCCCCGTCCTCTTTCACCGCCACCAGACAGTCGTTGACGTCGCCAATGCTCAGCTGTTTGTGGGCTTTATTTGAACCTGAACCAGAACTTTTGCCCGTACTTTTGCCCGTACACTGCTCCTCAAAGGTGGCCAGACTGCTGAAGAGCTGCAGCAGCAGCGATTCGACTAGGTGGGCGTGGTTGATTTGCTGGTTTGAATTTGAAGAGGAATAGAGAACAGTTCGACAGAAGGTGGCAATGTCGTAGAGGCGGCTGAAGCCAATTGGAAGGTAACGACTGGGCTCATTTTGGAAGGTCATTGTTGTTGACTGATTACCACCACCACAATCATAAACTGTCGTCCAGAGGTTTTTGGAACTCTAAAATGAATAAAAA